TTTACCTTTTTAAACTGTGAATTTATTCTTCCAGTAAATAGACGTGTAAACACGTCCCGAAGCATTTTAAGTCCGACATGAAACTGATCACTATGGTAAGGGGGGAGCACGTGGCCACGTAAACCCACGTGAGGCCAACGTCAGGTGAAGGCTAGGCCATCTCATTTCGCAGTAGTTTTGAGCATCCTACCTGGCCCAGCAAGGATGTGGCCTATGTGGCCCAGCTGCCCATGAATTGAGATATGTATGTTTTCCACAAACAAAATGGCTGGCCTCCATGTGATGACAACACCCTCGACAGGAAATGATATAATGTAACCRAAACATTATAGTGCTCCTAGTGGTAGGTTTAGAAACTGCAGCAATTTGGTTACATGACTGCAGTGATTTGCTTACATGACAACCTCCAGTCAATGCACCTTATTGGCTGCAACAACTACAGTAGCTAGCTTCATGCTCATTTAGTGGTGCTGCAGGAAAAAGGGTCCTCTGTGCAGCAGTTTACTGGCAGGTGTGCCYTGCTGTGATGATGTTCAGGCTATACAAATACACCAGTATACGGAAAATTCAWACCACAACAAAGGTATGCCGCCCAGTAGGGTACAGTATTACTGGGGGAGGGTTCTGTGGCAGTGAGTAATAATAACTGAGAAACAGCTGCTTGTGAACATTTACATAATTTCTATTAACAGTTAACAATTTTTGATACAGCATTATAATAAAATACCTTCGTACCACTCAGACTACCACCCAGTTCTAATGTCTCACCGGCATCCTTTGACTGCCTGTCACTGATTAATACTCGTATTGTTTTTTCGTATAAGTAAGTACTCAAATGTAAGAAAATTTGGTTAAAAAATGTTATTGATGTGTCTCTTTTAAAAGGTTATCAAGTGTTTTAAAACAATAAAGATAGAAACTTGAAACATATATTTTTTGCTTGGTTCAGTTTCTGTCTGAAGGGAACCGGAGCACGGCTGAAAGGAGCTGAGTTTAGACCAAAGCTAAAACTAAAAATGTGTTCTTCAAAAGTAAACCGATTGTGTCAGAATGGGGCATTGTAGGCTGATGACTAACTCTGACTCTGTACCTGCAGGAAAATGTGTCCGTGATGCTAGAAAATCTGAAGACTATCAAGGCCAAACACTCTCTGCTGAAGGATCAGGTGAAGGAGATTACAGAGGCACAGAGAGAGTCCATGGAGTCTATCAGAACCAACCTGAGCAGGGCRATGGAGCTGATTCAGCACTGTCAGCAGAAATCTGATCTTCAGGTACGTAAACTTGT